TGTCTTTAATACAGACATAGGCTATGTATTTTTTTGTGTGTGTATGTTTTTATATATATAATAAAACGACATTGCATAACCCATAGAGATCGCACCGTCCGAGAGTTTGGGAATATTCACACATAACATACACATAAAACATGATATCCGAGTTTTAAAATCAAACATTTTAAAAGAGAACAATACATCACGGTTGTTTAAACCAATCAACATTAAGCTGTGTCGTCAGCAAGTCGTTTCCCATCATGCTTTTGATCAGCGCAGTCGGTGGAGAGCAACTGCGCGCGACTGCAGAATCCGACACCTGCACCTTGCGCTCGCGAGAGCTTTTTGACACACGTCAGCATGACATCAGAGCAAGGCGGACCGCACTCGGACACATTTCTAACCAGCATGCATTACGCGCTGATCACCGGTGATCGGTTCTGCGCAGATTTTGCTCATCTCAAACAAGCCTATTGACCAGTGTTGAAACCTGGTTGAAACCAAGACAACAAGACCAAGACTTTTGCGGGGTTGAGATCATTGAGATCAAGACAAGATCATGGCAGGGCGAAACAGAGTCAAGAACAGACCAGCACTTCTTAAGTTCTTCTAAAAGATCCACATTTGAGAAATGTCTTATATTTAATCAATAGGATAAAAACATCTAGAGCTGTGTGCTCAACAATCCCATCAGCAACCAGACCACACATCTGGACAACAACACACTCTATCAGATACATTCAGGTGGTGATATTAGTGATATGATGACATAATTTAAATTTAGGGTGAAATATCCCTTTTAACTATCGATAGTCCCTTTTATCCCGTTTGTCACTCAATATGTTTTATCTCGTTCTGATTTCAGACTTTTGAAAATCCTAATATTAAGGTAATACACAACCTGCCTTCAAAATAAGGCCCTTAAACGCCACTGTATGCGTTAGGAAACAAACTAGCATTGCTATGGTTTTTAATAAGTGTTTTAGACACAAATTACGAAAGTAGTAATGAGGGAGGCCTTTAATAAATAATAAAAAAAAGTGTATCAATTTGGGTTCTTTCCTCGATTTGTTTTATACACTTCTACTGCCATCTGGTGCTCAGAAAAATGAAGTGCATTTATTAAACATTTTCATGAGGAAAATGCAGAACTTCAATTGAAATAAAAACAAACTTGTCTGGATTGTACTTTTATTATTTTAATAACATGCCAAATTTTACCACAAAACCATTATTATTATTACCAAGTTCAGCTGGTTGAACAAAATCGGATTTTACAGTCCCATTTCATCTCCGGGTGTTTGCATTGATTAACACAACTAGAGAATATTTTAAAGTCATTTTTTCCCCCCACTGTACAAGTTCAGATTTAATGTACTCTGAAGATTTGATTGTGTACATACAATATGGAAGGAAGCAACACACATTTCACACAATTTTACCATTTTATTATTGATTAACATTATATAGGTACATTGTTTATGATTTGCATGTTAAAACAGCTGTTAGGAAGCAAAATATGTTTTTCCACTAGAGGACAGAAAAGATCAGATAAGATCAGAGACATGTATATATCTAACATGAACATGTATTCCTCAAGCAGATGCTTTTGTCAAAATTAATAAAATAACACTAAACACAACAGAATGTGGTATAGTTGTCATAATTCCTGTCTTGTGTTTTTCTGTTGCTACAAGTGTAACAAGAGTAATGTTAAAATCTACAGCATGAATACAAATACATTCAGATCACATTTACAATTTGGTATTCACATCTGATTGGAAGATGAACAGCATCACTTCAGATCAAACCCTTATTTAAGCATAATTACTAAAGCAAAATAAGGCACACATTTACAATTTCAATGAAAATAATATTACAAAGAATGTCAACTTAATTAAGTTGTTGTATTTTTTTTATTTTTTTTACTATAAAAGTGTCACAAAGGTCATGTGATCTCAGCTTTAAATACACTGTGATCAATGCTGAACATGAATATTAATCTGGCACTGGTGTTATTTACATAAAACTGCACATTAAGTGGTTATAGAAATACTGCTGTGGTAAAAGTAAAAGAAAAAACATATACTTAAACTCACTGTCTACAATCACACAAAATATAAGCTGTGAGAGTCAAACTATTATGTTAATAGAGTAACAGATGTGAAGTGTAACATCAGTAAAATGATATATGAAAGAGTTTGATTAACATGTTTCTTGCTTCATCTAAACATGCTTTTGCTTTTTACATGCAAGTTTAACAGTTCAACAGACACAGATTCATTTCTCACTTTTACCAGACAGATTCTAGAAGATCATAAAAGCAAAAATATGTTTTTGTTGTTGCAGCTGGAGCTGAAATGTTGATGATGTCAGAGTGATTGACACTGGTGGGCGTGTCTTATTTCTTTAAAAGTAAAGCTGACACTTCCTGTTCATTTACTACAGCCACATCCTCTAGACCAGTGCTTCTCAACCTTTTTTGGGACAAATCCAGGTGATATTTGATTTGAAAATTATTGTGAGCCCTGTGTGTGTAATTATATAATGTGCAATTAGGTATAATTAATACAATTAATTTGGTTTGTCATGATTAATTTGTGTTCATAATCAGTAAAAAAAAAAATCTTCTAACAAGAATAAACACATATGAACAACTCAATTATTATTGTATTATTAATTATTTTTAACTATCCTGGAACTATCCAAGCAGTGTTTCGCGCTCAGATCTGATGGCAGAATTATACATTACCAAAATGTGATTACAGACTCCATCAAATTGTCATTTTCTCCTAACAGTTTTGCGAGTTGACAATAATGCCTGACCAGTAAATTACTTGGTGTACAAAGAAAACATTTTGGCATTAGTTAATGCCTAAAAATGTAAATAAGTTTTAGCCTACCTTATAAATAGTATTTAGTTTCATTAATTTAAAAAATTGTCGCCGGAGTGAATGGGAACATGATTTAGTGAAAATATATAAGTGGTTCATCAGTCAATACTTTTTAATGGCTTGTCAACTTTCCATTCCTCCGCTGTGTGATTCTAGTCAGTGTTTGAGCGCTGGTCTATGACTGGAAAAATAATAGAGTCGTCACAAAAGAAACGAGCCTACATACTCTACATGTCGCATTAAACTGGCAGATTTTAGAATGTTTGGTAATTATTTTGCAAGTAATTACGTTTAATCTTGTCTTGCCTGGATCCTATCATGCTTTTGTCAAATTTACTTACAGAACGCAATAAAAGTACAACATAATGTGGTATTAAAACACTAACTAGAGTTGAGCAAAAGCCTTTTTTTAATAATTTTTTTTAATTAATTTTAATTAAGCTGGTTAATTTCTAAAATAAAAGTATCAAATACATTAAAGTTTGTGGCACTGGACAGTCACAGATGTTTCTGAACTGTGTCTCATATTTACAGTCTGATGAATTTCTACACATTGAAGGAAGGTCATGTGATCTCAGTTTTAAAGACAGATCAAAGCTAAACATGAACATTAATCTGGAATTGTTGTTAATTATTATATAAAACAGCAGACGCAATGGTTAGAGAAATATTGCTGTGGTAAAGCAAAACAAATATTTGTTGCTCATTGTCTGATCACACAAAATCAAAAACTATGAGAATCAAACTGCTAATAGTGTAACAGGTATGAAGTGTAACATTATTAACATGATATATGAAAGTGTTTGATAAACATGTTTCTTGGCTTTTTAAGCACAAGTTTAATAGTTCAACAGACTCGGTTCATTTCTTCTTTTCACTGGACGGATTCATAATATCAGAAATGTGTTTTGCTGCTGTAGCTGAGCTGAAATCTTGATGATGTCAGAGTGATGTTGGCCGTCTCTCATCTCATCACACAGAACATGTTGCTTGTTGAACATCGAGTAATTTCCCATCTTCATCACATTCATTGTCATCCGATATTTGCACGCTTGTGTTTTTATCATCCACTCTTCTGAGTAAGGGACCTGAAAGAACACAAAGAAATATAAAGGATGCATCTACACTTTGCAAACTCAAAAACACAAAAGGTTAGTACATTTGTTTTTATTGTAGTATATTTACAGTGGTCACCCAAATGCCATTTTGAACTTTCAAAAAGGAGTGGAACTGTGACATTTATTTATACGAAGATATTTTGAAAAATTCACAGTGTTTTTGTCCATATAATAAGTCAACGTTTTTAATGGCTTGAGGATGAAACAAAAAAAATAATGACTGAATTCACATGTTTGGTTCTTCGCACAACCTTTCGATTTAATAATGTAATAATCACATTGGCAGAGTTACTCACCATTAACAGTAACATCGAATATCTGATGTATGACTCTGTTGCCTCTGATGATCTGTAGATGATACTCTCCAGAGTCTTCTGTTGTGCTCTTTATGATGGTCAGAGATCCAGTCGTCTTGTCCAGTGTCACTCTGTCTTTGAATCTTTTATCACATCTAGAGGTGTTGGTGTCAGCTATGATCATGTCATGGCGTCCAAATGTCCACAGCATCTGATCATCTTTTTGTAAATCGGTAATGTTAGGATTTAGATTGATAGACTCTCCTTCCATCACTGACTCTGGCTCCACAGCATCATCTAACACATTTAGAAAACAAACAACATTTAGTCAGACAGATTAAAAGTAGCAGTTACTAAACAGTTTAAACTATGATTGAGTTTTGACCTCTATTTAAACCTTTGCTGGTCTAATTTCAAGACTAAGTTTCATATTTTCTTATTCTCAGATCCATCACATCTGCTCTTGTGTCGACATTATGCAGTTATATAACCTCTAATAAAAATAAGTCAGTTAACAAAAGAGTTAAAGAAGAGATTTCAAAACTATGGGTGCAGTTGTGTTGGTGGCAAATATCAACTTTCTTGATTGGACTTTCAGTGCTTTGAGGATTTTCTTTAGCTATAGTGCTCCATTATTGATTTTGAAATATAGCATTCCTCAGATTGTGTAAATGTATGTTCATCTTCATTAGCTTCATTTGAAAAAGGTTAGTACATTTGTTTTTATTGTAGTATATTTACAGTGGTCACCCAAATGCCATTTTGAACTTTCAAAATAGAGTGGAACTGTGACATTCACTTATACGAAGATATTTTGAAAAATTCACAGCGTTTTTGTCCATATAATAAGTCAACGTTTTTAATTGCTTGAGGGTGAAACAAAAAAAATAATGACTGAATTCACATGTTTGGTTCTTCGCACAACCTTTCGATTTAATAATGTAATTATCACATTGACAGAGATACTCACCAAGAACAGTAACATTGAATCTCTGATGTATGACTCTGTTGCCTCTGATGATCTGTAGATTATACTCTCCAGCGTCTTCTGTTGTGCTCTTTATGATGGTCAGAGATCCAGTCGTCTTGTCCAGTGTCACTCTGTCTTTGAATCTTTTATCACATCTAGAGGTGTTGGTGTCAGCTATCATCATGTCATGGCGTCCAAATGTCCACAGCATCTGATCATCTTTTTGTAAATCGGTAATGGGAGATACTAGATTGATAGACTCTCCCTTCATCACTGACACTGACTTCACAGCATCTAACACATTTAGAAAACAAACAACATTTAGTCAGATTAAAAGTAGCAGTTACTAAACTAAGATTGAGTTTTGACCTCTATTCAAACCTTTGCTGGTCTAATTTCAAGACTAAGTTTCATATTTTCTTATTCTCAGATCCATCACATCTGCTCTTGTGTCGACATTATGCAGTTATATAACCTCTAATAAAAATAAGCCAGTTAACAAAAGAGTTAAAGAAGAGATTTCAATACTATGGGTGCAGTTGTGTTGGTGGCAAATATCAACTTTCTTGATTGGAGTTTCAGTGCTTTGAGGATTTTCTTTAGCTATAGTGCTCCATTATTGATTTTGAAATATAGCATTCCTCAGATTGTGTAAATGTATGTTCATCTTCATTAGCTTTACTATAATGTGCTGTCAACCATTGCTGAGAGCTGAATAGACGCAGGTAAAAGGACATTCTCTCTCTCTCTCTCTCTCTCTCTCTCTCTCTCTCTCTCTCTCTCTCTCTCTCTCTCTCTCTCTCTCTCTGATGGCTAAACTAAAGATTGTTAAAGACTTGAGGTACTCACCACTGGGAACAACAATGAATGTGAAAGACTTGAAGCTCTTCTTTTTCTTGTTGGTAATCTGTACATAATAATATCCATAGTGTGTGTTTCTGAAGTCTGTGATGGTGATGGTGAGAGGTCCAGTGAGATCCCACTGCAGTCTGTCTTTAAATGTCTGTCTTTTCTCCTCAGATTTAAATTCATCGCCCTGTTTACTGAATCTAGCTATGGTCATATATGGGCGTCTTTTATTAAAAGATTCTCCAAACCTCAAGATTATCTCATCATCTGTCTGTATTTTAGTTTCAGTGTTTAGTTTGAGATCACCTCCCTTCATCACTGACAGAGTCTTCATTTCATCTTTTTCATCTCCGAACACCCCTAAAAATACAAACAGAAACAGTTAGAGATTAAACAAATAAAACATTCAACAGAGTTCATTAAGTCTTGACTAATAATTCTCATGAGACTAATAAATCTAATTTCACTTTCTACAATCATTTGCAATGGCAGAAAGTTGGTTCTTTAAAGTCTCTAATAAAACTCTAAAGTCACATCTCAATTCCTAGAGAAAACTACAAGTGGAATGTTGAAATGCAGACTTGGACATAAATCAAATGATTGTGCAGGGGAATATTAGGTCAGTTTTCTGAATATTTGCTTTGTACTGATAATATAGTAATCCTGTCTGAAAGCTGCTTTTAAAAAGGCTACATAAGCACTATACAAATACATCTGACTTGACTTGATAAAGACACACTTGCAGTCTCTACTAATGATTTGATGAGTTGAATCATGTGTTAGATGAGGAATATGTGCAGTGATGGCCCTTCAGGACAGATTTGATCTACGAAGGAATGGCTCATGAACATTTATAATCAATACAGTTACAGTATATTTTCATAGTACAATAAACATTAGCATTTTAAAACTAAAGCTCTTTTTTGTTCTTGTGAGAGCATAAAGTAACACTTGCCTAAAATTCTTGCTTGTCCACAAAACCTCTGGATTCGACCCAGAAAACCTGTAATCACTGATTCATTCTCTGAAGTCTCAGTGAAATCTGTAAGAAAAGAGAGATGAGAAACACAAAATGCAACACAAATCACTTCATTTAGTTTAGCACAGAGATTTTTAAGAACAGTCACTTTATAAAAACTCTTATGATCATTTCTCAAATGAGAATAAACATATGCACAGAAAACACACATACGCCTCTTCAGATGTGAAATCTATAAATCGCAAATGATCTTGTTTGCAGCTGAATGGTTTCAGATCTCCGCCTTGTAAACGATGGCAAATTATTGTCATTATCATACATAAGAGCAGCAGTCAACATCCGAATGCTTTACTTTATAATGTCGAGCATTACCAAATACCTGCAGTTCTCCGACAGTCCGACTCTCTGCCACAAGGAAAAGTGTTCGTCTGCTCAGAACCGGACGCGGCTCTAAGCACTTTTATATGTCAAAGACCGTTTTTATAAATATGAACTTTGCGTACGCGTAAATATGAACTTTGCGTTTATAGCGTACGCACACACCAAGTTCAAATCTGTGCATACACACGTTTTATAAATGTTTTATAAATGAAGCCCCAGATCTCTGCTCTAGGATTAAACCATTTGCTTTGGAGAATATTTTTATATTATTTGCCTGGAATCCAAAGTTGACATACTTGGTTACATTCAGATAATATTTAAAAAGGTCAAGTCATGCAGCGCTCGTATACAGTTGTGGTCAAAATATTACATACACCTTGCAAAATATTCTTATTTTACCAAAATAAGAGCGATTTAAAAAAATGTCATGTTTTCTATATTACTACTTCCCTGATTAATCTATTTAACATAACAGATGTTTACATTTAGACAATCACTCCAAAAGTTTACGTACGTTTGATTCTTAATACCGCAAGTCATTTTCATCGCATGTTACTGACTTCATAAGTATGCAAATAAAAATCCGGAGGATTACAGATGTGTAGTATAAAAAAAACAAAAAAAAAAACATAAAAAAACCCACATAAAATATTATTCCTCGTGATGTGAATCCTTTAAAAGAAAGCAAAATATTGTCAATGTGAAAATGACACAGTATATAATTCTTCTTTTCACCATGTGTCATATTTATGTCACACTGTTTGCCAGAAAAATTAAACATTATGCCAGATGATTATTACACTAAAAAGACTTTCAGTACTCACCATCAAAAACAACACTGAATGTCTTGAACATTTTGTTAGATACGGGATTTGATAATGCTATATAAATTCCAGTGTGTTCAGTTCTGATGTTCTTGATGGTCAGAGATCTCTGTTTATCCAGCTGCAGTCTGCCTCTGAATCTCCCATCAGAATACTCAGATTCATTGTCATTTTCTATTGATGTATCAATTTTGTTGAAATCATTTTCTGCAAACATCCACCTTATATCACTCCCCATCTCTTCTGAAAAATCTAGAGTGACATCATCTCCCTCCTTCACTGACACCATCTTCACTTCACCTGTGTTGAGAACAAAAACACAGACGACATGAAGGAACTGAAATTAAACTTTAATAACAGTCAGTAAACAGATGAAATCAACTATTGGTCAGATCTTTTTAACTGGGAGGCCGATGTGAGGCATCATGAAACAAGACCAGCTTTCTTCTATTACATAATCAAAAGGTAAAAAGAAATCTTAATCCAGTGCCTTTAAACGGGTTAATGCCAGAACGTGGTAGGGTGCGCCATTACACACCTCTGAATGAAAACACAGGAGAAGCAGAAACAAGCAACAGGGCCTGTCCAAATACCCACACTTGCAGTCTATGCACTTGACCACTTGTCTACTAACATGACGTATTTCCTCTATTTGGCCCAAGCGTTCAAATGGACGTGAAGACTGGAAGTGTGTGTAGAACTTTTCATTATTTAAAGGGACATACTAAAAATTTGTGCTTACAGAGTTTTATTTACACATTTTGATTTTCAATACTTTGCATTTGAAAATTTCTAAATGTTTGTTCAGTAGTCCCTATGTAACAAGACACATAATAAAAATTGTGGTAAATTTTTTTTATAAATCTATTAAGTGATAAAAAGCAATTGCCAATGTTACAAAATACACATACTCAGCTTTGCACCAATAAAATTACTACCAAATTATTTGTAATATCTAATTAATCTAACTTAGTGGAATGTTTTCGTCCACATCTCGCGATTTTGGGGCATGCGGGTTCCCGAACATGATGCATCATGGGATATGCTCAGCCTCAAAGACCGCTCTGAAGCGGTGTTGAAGACAGTGTGTGTTTAGTATGTGTGAAAGCCCCACTGAAGTACCTTGAAACGCACAGCATTATTCAATGTGTTGACGTAATTTCCACCGAAAAAGGAAAACAGGGCGGGACATATCAGACAGCTCCTCCCCTTTTTAGAAGAGCCTTTATATCACAGCTCAGCCAGAGCCGTTGAGCTCAGTAACGCCACAGTTTCTTCCTAATCTCCAACATATCGCTTTAAAATATAGGATTCTGTGCAGAATTCATAAGGGTCCGATACGTTTTCTGCACTGCGCCCGACTCGATCATACAATCTCTGTTCTTTGTATCTCTGGACAGGAGCTGCGGAGGTTTGGATGATACTAATGTGAAACCAGACTTCATTTGCCCCGATGGAAAGCAAATTTACATCGTTCCCTATGCCCTATATAGTGCACTAAATGTCATTCACCATGTAGAAAATAGTAAATGTGTGAACAAGTGACTGATTTCAGCCGCAGCTTCAGCATCTATTTATACTGTAGGGGCGGAGCTTCAGATTTTAGAGAGCATTTGATTACAGAAAATCTGATTAGACAGAAAAGCTGCAGAGTGATGTCATCAAAATTATTGATCCATATTGGCGGAAGTGAGAAACTAAGTTTTGAATGCTTATATCTTCTAAATGCGAATTTTGAAATTGTTTAAAGCACACTAGCTTATAGATAACACTAGGGCAAACATATTCATACCAAATGTCTAAAGTGCTTTGGCATTTTTAAGGTTCTCCTCATTTGAGTGTAGCATGTGTTATCACACGGTCAGAAGTGACTGGACACCTAAAAATGAATCTTCCTCCACCCCACTAAAACCAATGGAATTTATTTTTGTTCAATAATATTTTGTCTTTTTTATTTTGTATTTTGAGAGTATTTGATGGCATTTTTTAATATTTATACAATAATTATGGTCCATTTTTGCCATTAAAAATAATATATATATATATAATATTTTTTTTTTAAGGCAGATCAGCGCCATCTGGTGAGAGTATGAAAAGGAAACGCAGAAGCATGGTGTAACCACTAGAGGGCATGTACAGCTCTCTGTGGAGAGGCTTGTGAATTCCCTAGTTGTTTTTGGACACATTTACCTAGTTCTTTTTTAGGTGGATTTGAATATATATTTAAACGATCTCAAAGACTATTTCTGATCAAGTTTTAGATATTATTTTGTTAGAAATAGTGATTTAAAACCCCCAGGTGCTCCTCATTTGGGTGTAGCACTTGTTATCAGAAGTGACCGGACACCTAAAAATGAAACTTCCTCCACCCCAGTAAAACAAATGTAATTTATTTTTGTTCAATGATATTTTTCTTTTTTATTTTGAGAGGATTTGATACTTGTTAATATTTATGCAACAATTATCATTGAAAATAATTAAAAAAATCTAATTTTTTAAAATATTTTTTTAAATTAATGCAGTATTTCAGATTAATAGAGAGACTGGCCTTTTAAATAATATTTTCTGAAGTCAGATTAGCGCCACCTGTTGATTGAAAATAAAATAAAACCTCTCATTTCATAGCTCTCTATGGAGAGGCTTGTGTTGTTTCTCTAGTTGTTTTTGGCCAAAATTACTTACTTTTAAGATGTGGATTAAAATGTTTTTTTTTTATTTTATTTTTTTTATTCTCAAATAATACTTTTTGTCAAGGTTTATAAAAAAAATTTAATTAAAATTGATGTGAAGTGTACACATATTTGCATTATTATTACTACAGTCAAACCTGAATACAGAGAAAGCATTTTGTTACAGGTGACATTAAAATTCAATAAAAAAATTACAAAAATAAACAGGAATGCTTTATCACAGCTTATTATTATTTATATATTATTATTATAATTATATAAATTCTTCTTATAATAATTAATTATTTTAATTATTTATATATTACTATTATTATAATAATAATTACTGTTTAATCCATCTGAAATCTGATCTCATTTCAACCTCTTATTTCAGTCTTCTGACTCAATTATGCTGTATTGTAATAGCCCTACCAGTTCATTTGTGTTTATAATTGTGTGTGTCTGTTTTTCACTATTGATGTTTTAGAGTTTCACCCCTTCATTGCGGAGCACTTTTTTTCTGCATCGTGGCCGATTTGTAGAGAATTTTTGTCGATTTCCCATTTATTTCCTATGGGTCGGTCATTTCTGACCGAAGAGCACAAGTGTTACTATTTTTTTACGACCACTTAGCCTGCTCAAATCATGCCCTTACATTTTTTTTGTGTGTGTTCACATTCCAAATGCCATAAAAGTCACCAAGTTTCCTAATTTTTCAATGAAGCTGTGATTTTTAAAAATTCAAAACAGATTTTTTTAAATCACAATTCATTGGTGTTTCTGATTGAATCCAAGATGGCAGCTAGTCCGAGGTCTGCTCAGTGTTTCTCTCTGGACTGATTTCATTTAAATGGATTTTATAGTATTTTATTTCTTTTAAGTTGTAGTTTTTAAGTTGTACAAGTCATTTATATGGAAATTTCATCTTGAACTTTTAAGAGGATTGTGGACTACTATGAGTTTAAATGACACTATACCTCTGCTCTGAGCTAATTTTGCTAACCTGAGCCTGATCCAACTGATCCTATTAGCCCAGGCTAAACAGAGCTAGGCAAACGGGCTTGAACCTGCTACATTCTCCTGGAGCTTGGGATAGCCAGCCTGAGCCTGCTACATCTTTCTGGAGCTTGGGCTAACCAGCTTGAGCCTGCTACATCTTTCAGGAGCTTGGGCTAACCAGCTTGAGCCTGCTACATCTTCCGGGAGCTTGGGCTAACCAGCTTGAGCCTGCTACATCTTCCGGGAGCTTGGGCTAACCAGCTTGAGCCTGCTACATCTTCCGGGAGCTTGGGCTAACCAGCTTGAGCCTGCTACATCCTCTTGGAGCTTGGGCTAACCAGCTTGAGCTTGCTACATCCTCATTGGAGCTTGGGCAAACCAGCCTGAGCTTGTTACATTCTTTTGGAGCCTGGGCAAACCAGCCTGAGTCTGCTACGTACTCCTGGAGTTAGGCTAGCGGGCCTGGCTTGCTTAATTTTTCTGGAGCTTGGGCAAACCAGCCTGGGTCTCACCCATCATCCTGGAGGCTAGGCTAACGGGCCTGGCCTACTACATCCTCCTGGAGCTTGGGTTAACAAGCCTAAGCCAGTAACAACATTTTGGAAGCTGGGCCATACTCTACAAGATAAACTGGTACTGTTATTAGGCATCTTTACTATTAGTAAAATAATGACGATGGCATCTTTTTTAATTTTAATTTTCTTATCCCTGTTGGTCACTTGGAATTTGAAACCGGGCACTGATCCTAGGGTGAGTTGTTTTAATAATATGGTGGGCATACAGGAAACCTACTATAGTGGCACAAAAAACAGTATTGATATGCACCAGGAACCATTACACTTTTGTTGGAACCTGGACTTCTGGATGGATTTGTATTGGGATTTGCCTAAACTGCAAAAAATTTTTGCTTTGTATAATTTGTCTTTCTCAATTAATGACAGGTATTACCTGGTTTCAGCATATGATAGGCCGGCTTTAAAATATGCTGTGAGGTGCAGATTGATTATTACACTACTCCTACTTCTATCTGGAAATGTGCAGCCCAATCCTGGCCCCTGTTTGCAATGTGTCTCGACCCCTGCTGAATTTAAATCAATGCCTGGACTTAAATTTGTTCATCTAAATGTTCGCAGTTTACTACCCAAAATGGACATGGTTAGAATTTGGATTGAATCTACAGATGCAGACATAGCGATAATTTCGGAAACATGGTTGAAGAAATCAATTACTAATGAAGATATAAAAGTACATGGGTATAATGTTTTTCGCAGTGACAGGCCGAAGAAAGGTGGTGGCGTAGCTATCTATGTTAAGTCAAGATTTGGTGCATCAGTTGTTTTGTCTGAGTCTCTCTGTGGGAAAATGAGAGATAACTGTTGTGGGGTGTTATAGACCTCCATCGGCCTCCAGGGAGGCTTTATCATCTTTAAAGCTTCTTTTGTCCAGATTAAACTACAGTGAACTTTTATTAGCCGGGGACTTAAATTGGGACTGGCTAAATGTTGTTTCTGATGATTTTAAATCTTTTTGTGATTCTATCAGTCTTAGCCAGTTGGTAAATGTACCTACAAGGCCTAATCTCAAAAATCCTGATAAATCTACTTTAATTGACTTGATTCTAACAAATGTCCC